TTACAATTTCAACTTCGCCCTTTCCTCTCTTAGATATTACTAAGACTTGGCCAGTTAGTGTTCTCCTTTACCATTGTGAAGAAGAAAGTCAGCTGTGTCTAAACAACGGGTCGTTTTGGTAACACTTGGAGGAGCCAAATTCAACAGAGGAAAGAAGATGAAACTAAACTCATGAACTCACTATCCAGAATTGAACACTACTAACATTTCATTATACTCAGTTTGAATACATTTACTAAATTTAACTAATACTGTTAAAATTACCTTTGATAAAGAAGAAAGTTCTCTGTCAGATGTTATCATTGACTCTTCCATAAGTCAACAGCTATTATAAAATTGGTATGTATATTTCCAGTTCACTTTTTTCTATAGTTTTTAAATAAGTATATCTGGGAGCAATGTATATTAATATTTTGTATTTCACTTTGAAATTATACAAATGGTATCATGCGATAAGTATGTAAGTAACATTCTGCTAATAACTTTTCTCAATGGTTTTGAAATGTATGTGAAGGAAACGAAAATATGCCACCCCAAAATATATTTCTTTGGTCTATTTTAAGATGACTACTCAGAGGGGCTGCAGACACAGGAATAGTTCTGAAAAACTGTCCTTAGTAGGGAAAACTTGCATCTGTTGAGAAAATCTAGTGAAACACAGATGTAAGAGCTTTATCTGAGGCCTTCTTATCTACATTATCTGGAAGTAGGAAAAATTTAACTCACAGGAAAAGGAAACTAAAGGTCTGACATTATTACAGGTCTGACAAGGAAACTTTTATCACAGGCTCCCATCTATTCTTTTTGAGGGCTGCCATCTGTGAGGCTTCGCCTGCATAAAGATAATCTTTGCTGGTCATGCCTTTTCTCCCTTTTCCTTCCCATAACCTGTTGCCATGCTCCAAGTCACTATTCCTTTCCATACAGTATAAAAAACTTCAGTCACATTGCTCTTTTTATTTGATTTTTATTTATTTATTTATTTTGAGATGAAGTTTCACTCTTGTTGCCCAGGCCAGAGTGCAATGGCACGATCTTGGCTCACTGCAACCACAGGCCACCACACCTGGCTAATTTTTTGTATTTTTCAGTAGAGACAGGTTTTCACCATGTTGGCAAGGCTGGTCTCAAACTCCTGACTCCAGGTGATCCACCTGCCTCAGCCTCCCAAAGTGCTGGGATTACAGGTGTGAGCCACCACACCTGGCCACATGCCTGTTTTTAGAGTTTTATATTTGCAGGACTCCCGTGTCCATGTTCATGTTAATACATTTGTATGCCTTTTTTTTTTTTTTGTTAATCTGCCTATTGTTAATTTATTTCAGCAGACTTAGATTCAAACCTTCAAAGGGAAAGTTTGAACTTCCCTACATATATATGTATGTAAGTAGACACACACACATCTGTATGTATATATCATACTTTAGTAATGAAAATGCTGCATTTACTCATTCATTTTAATGAAGATGTAGTCTCTTTTAAATTTTTAAATATTATTTAATGTACTTTCTTGAATACATATATAAGAACTCTCTAGAATACTTAAGTATGAAATAACTAGAACATGAGATACTGCATATGAGCCTTTAATTCTAAAAATAACCACATAAGTTAGATAATATTATCTCCATTGTATAGATATGCAACTGAGCCTTAGAAAAGGTAAGACTTGTTTAAAGTCACAGAGTTAATACGCATCAAAGCAGTGATTCATATTCAGATGTGTTTGGTTCCTCAAATAACAGTTTTTTCCCCAACCGTGTTGTCCCTGAAATATGACAAAAATAGTGTTTTATGTATATGTGAAAATTGCTATACATTGTCCCTAATTTCTGGATTTCTTAATTTTCTTTTTCTTCTTGTACTTAGACTTTGAACAATTTAATTCACTTAATTTGGATTGGCAAATCCAAATGGTGAATGTTACCAAAGGAGATGTTAAGTGATCTACAAACATTGCTCATGGTAGGGAGATGGGAGAGAATAGAGGTAGGAGAGACTTTGTCTGCTCACTTTCTTCTTGTGGGTATCTAAAATAAGAATTTCTGGGGCAGAGAGGGATGTGACAGTATATAGCAGGCTGGGGAATTGCTGTAGAGCATTCAGATTTTGGAAGTATTTAAAAAGTTAAAAAGAAGAGTATTGCATTTATACATGGACAACACAGCTTTTCATTAAGCACTGGGGAGACTATCAATCTGGGCACCTGCTTAACAGGAATAGCAAGCTAAAGTAGAAAGTTACCAGAAGGCGCTTAACCTTAAACTTGTTTGCCTCTTAGCCCGAGCAGCAAAGCAGTATTGAGTTAAATCCCCACATTTACGTAAACATTTGCTCATTTCAGAGGCCCACTTGGTTACGTATATTTCCTCTACTACATTTCTATGGAATCTATTCTGTTTATTCTTCAGTAAACTCACTTAGAGTCTTAATACTACAGACAATCATATAATTTGAATTCCAGTCTGTTGGACCTAATGTACACACTACCACTATTACTGACAGTTTCTATTATTAAGGGCCAGATGTTTTGCCTCATAAATTTTTCTCATTCAGTTCTCATGAGAACCTTATAAAAAAAGACATTTTGTCTTGATTATATGAATAGGGAAACCAAGCACACCAAGCTAAAAGTAACTTTCTCAAGGGCAATGAGTTAAATTTACTTAATGGATTCTAAAATAATTTAGGTTCCTGTGCCCCATCAGGAAAAGGACAGTGTCAAATTTTTATCAACAGGCTGCAAAATCCAATACTCAATAAAAATCTGTTTATTGAATAAATGAATGTTTGACTCACAGCCATATTCAATACTGATTTAAGGTATAGTCAATTATGCTAAAATAATATGTCTTGTACAAATTAAAACTTTTAAAAAGTGTCATTTTGAAAATCTATTTTTTTAAATTTTCAAATATAATCACTGACATATGTGTTATTGAAAGCTGAATCATCATCCTTATGCAGTTAAAAATATCACTTGGTGAACGACATCTGAGGGACCAGCTATAAATTGTGAATAGGTAACACAAATACCTCTCTTATAAACTTTTTTTATTTAAAATTATAAGCTGTTAGGCCTTTTATTAAAAAAAAAAAAATAGAGTAGGAAACTGGATATTTAGTATTAGAAAAGACAAGGTTTTCACCATTATAGAAATAAGCATATACATTAACATTTTGGTATAAACTATGATTACCATATTACCATGTAAGGGCTCGATTTGCTTATGCTATTTCTATCACACTCATTTTTCAACATTACATATTCTGAACAGTTCCAGATAAGGACCAGCTGAATCGCCTTAGTTCAAATTGAGTCCTTTGTATGGGCCCTAATCTTGTAGAGACCCTTGTTTCTTTAATACTATCATCTCCCACATAGAAGCATTAGTGTTTCAATTTGCCTTTAATTTCTAATACAACCCTGACTTTCAATTATGTAAAAATCTTAGAACAAACTGATTAAAGAGCTGTTAACAGTATCATTTTATGTCAGAGGTTTATTCTATAGACCACATGAAAAGAATTATTTATTGCAAATCTTAGTGATACTACACCTTTATTGAATCATGACTATGAAAAAATGTGCCCTAAATTTCTAAAACTAAGTTTCTAAATTTCTAAAACTAAGAAAAAATTGACAAGCTTCATGATATATTGATTGTTTTCCCAGATTCGAAAAATACATAGTATTCAACTGAAACAAAATAATGAATTTTCTGTTGTATATTCCACCATTTGCATCTTTATTATAATAATACCACAATTGGGGCTTACTAATATTTTAAAAGGTATTTGGAAATGACAAATAGGCCCTGTAACAATATTTGCTTCTCAAAGGTATGCAAGAAAACATGAGGAAAAAGTGATTAAGGTTCAAAACAGTATTATAGATATCTACATACAAATGGGTAAAATATTATATTCTAAGAGAATGTTTATACTTAATATTTTCAAAGATATTTCTTGGGAACAAGTCAAAGTTCTCTGTCAGTGCCATCATGTTATATCTGATTATTTGCAATGGTTGGCAAAGGTAGAATAAGAAACTAAATTAACACACTGCAGAGTAAATAAAGACTAAATACTAAATATCAAAACCCAAAACCTTGTAATTATCAATAATGACACAATAATGATGATCAGGAAAAGACTCAGTAGTTATACTGCCACTGTAGTATTCTATCAGATATTTCACCAGTAAAAATATTTATTAATTACATTAATGTAACTTATTTAATACATTGCAAACATTATGTTAAAAAATTAATCTTCCTGTTCAGATAATGTTTCCTCCTCGCCTAATGTGATGGTTAATATTGAGTGTCAACTTGTTTGGATTGCAGAATGCAAAGTATTGTTCCTGGGTGTGTCTGTGAAGCTGTTGCCAAAGGAGATTAACATTTGAGTCCGTGGACTGGAAGCAGCAGACCCGCCCTCAGTCTGGGTGGGCACGATCTAACCAGCTTCTAGCATAAAAGCAGGCAGAGAAAGAGCAGACTTGGTGAGTCTTCTGGCCTCCATCTTTCTCCCATGCTGGATACTTCCTGCCCTTGAACCTCATACTTCAAGTTCTTCAGCTTTTGGACTCTTGGACTTAACACTAGTGATTTGCAAGTGGCTCTCAGGCCTTTGGCTACAGACTGAAGATTGCACTGTCGGCTTTCCTACTTTTGAGGTTTTGGGACTCGGACTAGCTTCCAGGTTCCTCAACTTGCAGATGGCCTATTGCGGGACTTCACCTTGTGATCCTGTGAGTCAATTCTCCTAATAAACTCCCCTTTGTATGTTCATTTATCCTATTAATTCTGTCCCTTTAGAGAACTTTGACTAATAAACCTAACAGAAACCCAATGGATTCAATGAAATTGATCAATTCCTGAATTTACTTATTTTACTAATCTTTAATATTTTCTTTTAGGATCTAGATCAAAGGTATATTGTACAAGTATAGGTTTGTCACGTTGAAAACTTGGTGACTATTAAAAAATACTTACCAACTGGCTCCTTCTGATTCTGAAACAGAATCTTGCTATTACTGCCATCCATATTTGCCATGTTAATTGTGTTTCCATCGGTCCAGTAGAGTTTTCTTAATTCAAAAGAGATATGGATTGGAAATATTAGATGTAGACCTACTCACTGAGTAGAAATATACACTAAAAAACAAAGTAAACATAAAAATATATTCTGGACTCAGGAGTAACTCTCTTCAGAAAAATCCAAAATTGTTCTGCCATTTGCTGGCGATAACCTACATATTTGCCTGAGAAGTAAGTACCATTCTTGCTTTTTCCTGTCAGTGAAAAAAAAAAAAAATCTCACTTCCTTTTTCCTCCTACATACATGACTGAATATTTAGCTAAGACTATAGTAAATTATTTTCTTTGTTAAGTAATTCATCAAGATTGAGTCCTCTTGGCTCTGAAAAAATCAGATGCCACAGAGGGTAACAAACTCATTTCTACTATTGCTGTTGAAAGCACTAGAGAGAAAAGAATCTCTTTCAACTCTATGCAAGCTCCCTTAAGGGTACAAGGTGACCATCCAAAAGATTGAAGAATCTGATCTACATAGCAGTGACCATGATACCAACATGCAGTACATGCATTTTTAACCACTGGCTTTCAAAATGAAAGCAACCACTTTCTCCTACATCTGTTTTTATTCAGAACTGTCATTTCTTAGAAACATAAATTAATGAGATCTTACGACACATGTCACAGATATATATGTTGGTGTAGGATATATATAATCTCCAGATAATACAACTCTAACCAGGAATCTCTTTTACAGTTTCCATATTTAAATTTTGTGACTCTTGTGGCTGATATATATATACACATATATATCCTCTGAATTAAATAGTGTTTTTATATAAAATCAGAGCAAAAGTCTCTGAAATTTTGGAAAAGCTTAAAAAAAATAATCATACTTTACCCCCTGACTGGGTGAGCTGCAAGACACTGTGGCTTATCGATTCCATGGATAATAGAGGTTTTCAAAGAGCCATCTAGCCTTGCCACATTAATTTGTGTTTCATCATATTCTGAGCTAATCCAGTATAAATTACGTGACACCCAATCCACTGCTAGTCCTCTGATACTCTGAATATCTATAAAACAGGAAAGAGAAGATTTAAAAGTGAATGAAGGTTTTCATTGTATTGGCTCTCCAAGTAGTTATTTTCTATCTGAGGGAAAATTTAATTTACACTTTAATTTGTTAGCTAAAATCACACAAGATTGTAATCTCATTCCCTTATCAGCCCTTCTTAAGGCATGAATAATCATTAATGTCTTACTGCTGAGCTATTTGAAAACCTGAAGCAACAATTAGCATTGAAATTACACTAACAGTCAATGATTCACTAGTAAACACTTAGGAGCAAACACAGGCAGCAGTCTTATGAGCCAAGGTGACCAAAATTCAAATTAGAGTAATAGCTTCTCTAGTTGGTAGCACATCTTTCTAGTTAGGAGAAAGTACTTGTGGGCCATCAACAAATGGGCTATTTTATGTTTTAAGTGCCAAGCTGTTACTAAAATGAAATAAAACAATTCAACTTTCCTAAAAGAATCACCAGAGTTGAACACCTTTCAAAACATAATTAAGAGGAATTGACTGAGAAGAGAAAATCAAATAAAATCATTTTAACATTCCTTCAACGCGGATTCTACAGAAAATTCTGAAATCGAATTAAGTTTGGATTTGTTACAGTCAATATAAATATTTTGGTTGTTAGTCCTGTATTATTGAATTAGACATCTTTTAAAACAATTATGGAATTTAGGCTTAAATATAATTGCACATTCCAACTTCCACTTAAAAATTGCACCTTTTCAAGAAAAACAAAAATAAAGTGTTATAAAGGATGAATGCAGAAAATCTTTTCAGAAATATTAACATATAAAGTAGTCCAGTTTAATGTCAAATTTATAGCATTTGATTATCTTGATTTTGGTTTTATTTTAGAAAATTTTAATATTTTCTAGCATTCTGTACTTATAGAGTTCTCTAGACCACTATTTCTCAAACTTACAAGACACCTGGAGACTGTTAAAATAAAGATTCTAATTCAGTAGTTCCGAGGAGAGGCCCAAGATTCTGTTATTGCTCAAGGTTGGTGATTCCAATCAAAACTTCTGAGCGGCTGCTACTTAGCTCTAGTCAAATTGCTATATCTTCCATTTTTATTCTTTTCAGAAGAAGCCACAAAGCTAGATTTTTTTAATGTGAAAGTGGAAACTCCAGATCTGTAAAGTATGCCAACTAGTTCAAAATGTAAGACAGCAAAACAAGATGTGGGGGCCTGACAGTTCTGAGTCAGCCATAAAGTGCAGTATTTGAATGGTAGGTTTCCAGCTTACATTTCCATGCCAGAATCTCAACTGAGCCTACCTTGCTGCTCAAAAATCCTTTTAGTACTTCTAAGTAACTATTAATCACAGTTGCCTTAGAAGATATTACTCGTGTTTCCGGTTCTCTTCAAATCAAGAACCCTCTCACTCTGCAAATTACTTTTCATGATTAATGTACAGGTAAGTTGGTTAATTTCAAATATAAACTTATTTCTCAATCTTAAACTTCACATTTCTTCTTATTTTCAGTCATCCTCAACCAGTTTCTTTTTTTTTTTTTAGACCAAAGTAATATACCACTTCCTTAAAATTAAACCTGCCACATCTTATATATATTTATTTCCCTCACTCAGAATCTTTATTCCTTCTTCCCTCCTTTCACTCTCTGGAATTAATTGGTTACTGAGAGGTTGTATTGATGTAATAAGAATATTTGGGTTGATGTTCAGGTTGAGTGTCTATTTTTGTCATTAATCAAGTCATTTAAATGTCTTTTAGTCTCTTTTCTTACCTGTGAAATGGGCTATAGATAACACATAGTATTGTTATGAATATTATAATACATTAAATAATGTGTATTTATGCAGCCTAATGTAGGGCTGAAGAATATTTTGTCAATCTAAGAACTTAATATTTTCTGCATTTTACCTTGGATTGTTTGGTATTGGCAAAAATAATACAATAAGTTTCTATTTCCCCTAAAATACTTGTTCTTCAAAGTTGGTTTTGTTTGTTTGTTGTTTTTGTTTGTTTTTGTGGCGGGAGGTGAGGGGTAAGCATTGTCTCTGCTGCTCAAAATCCTCTTATTCATTTATGATAGACTCTTAGTAATATGGCCTAGAGAATATATTCCACTTGAAATTGTAAAGCACAGCCAAATGAAAGCCATAAATATCTATTTAGTCTTTTGTCAATTCTATAGTTCATGCTCTCTCAAATCTCTTTCCAGCTTTAATATTACAGTAGTATCCAGCATTTCCTCTTCTAAGCAATTGATTTATTTGCTGCCAGGTTATTTTTCTGACTACGGAGCTTTGAATCATGACCTTCACTTGCCCCAAAGTATTCAATAGCTTCTAGCCACCCAGAATGTGATGTCTAAATTTCTTAGTCTGCTTTTCCATATAGTGTGACTATAGCGACAGTACTTTCCCAGTCTTATTTCTCACTATTTTTAACCAAATGCTTCACACTTTAACCATATTAATATGTTTTCAGATTTCCAGAAATTACCTGATCTTTCCCCACTATAGGGAAACTATTTAGATTTCATAACCTACTCCCATCACCACTTGCCTGAATTTTATTCATAATAGGCTAGCTGATCAACATCATTCCTTCAACCACGAAAACCTAGTCATGTCTCTTGTTTATCCCAGCTGAAAAGAGTTTCTCCATCTGCCTAACTTAACAGAACTGTACCTGGTTGATCTCTTTTTACCTAATGTAATCATTACTTTGCTGATATATAACTACTTTCACATATGAGTTTTGAGGGCAGGCTCCTTGCTAATTTGTCTTTTTGGCCCCTCTCCCCAATTGTATACAACATTGCCTTCAACATAAATATTTTTAATGAATTCCCCAGTTGTATACAACATTGCCTTCAACATAAATATTTTTAATGAATTCATGAATAAATTCATGAACTACACAATCTAAAATTTTAAGAGTATGTGAACTAAGCTAAAAAAAGTCAAATATGTCTATATTGAGGAGTATTTAAATATATACTCAAGCAATCTTAATTTTTTTTTTCTTTTCTTTTTTTTTTTTGAGACGGGGTTTTGCTCTTGTTACCCAGGTTGCAATGTGCAATGTGCAAAGTGCAAGGTTTGGCTCACCAAAACCTCCGCCTCCCAAGTTCAAGAAATTCTCCTGCCTCAGCCTCTCGAGTAGCTGGGATCACAGGCATGCGCCACCATGCCTGGCTATTTTTTTGTATTTTTAGTAGAGATGGGGTTTCTCCATGTTGATCATGCTGGTCTCGAACTCCCGACCTCGGGTGATCCACCCACCTTGGCCTCCAAAGTACTGAGCCTAATTAGGCGCCCAACCTAATTCTAATTTTTTATTCTTAACATTTTTCTCCCACCAGATTGAACTTTCTAATTATCATCTTTATGTCTAAAAGAATACTCTTGTTTTTGGCTATCAATCACTAATTCCCACATTTGGTTATTGCAGAGTGCTCTGGTAAACTCATCATAAGTGTATGGGGGGAAAAATAAAAATAATTATGTATTTAATATTTTTCTCTTTTTGGTAAAAATATTGAAATAATAAATTCTAGGTCTAACTTTTGTTTTTCAGTAAATCAGAACAAGACCTCTGAGTATGTTTCTCAGGAAGTTTAATTTTCCAGTTCTGGGGTCTCTCATTTCTGGAACTGAGACTAATTGTAAAGTATATTCTGAAAAGCCCTTTATTGCCACAAAACTGATGCATGATAAACTGTAACTTTCAAATGCATTGTCGAGATCATAAGACAGACAGGAAAAACTCAACATGCTAACACACACTCACACGTTAGCTAAAACTATCAAGGAAGACAAAATGGAATTATAGAAGCGGGTGCAATCATAGAGGCAAACACTTGCACTGAGAATGGAGAGCTTCATGGAGTATGAATTGCTCACTGTAAGAGGGTTCAGTCAAACTTACAAAGAATGAGTGAGCTAAATAAGAGTGATCTTCTGGGTATAGACACACCCCAGTGGACTCACACTTCCCATTAAGTTCCTCCTCAGAACAAAAAAATAATTAAAACACACACAAAGAAATGAGATATAAAAGAATAGTTAAAAGAAAAATAAACAAAAGATCCGAGCCTCCAAAATCTACATATTCATAAATTATTATCTGTAGGATAAAGACAAGGTGAAATATCTTAATGGCATAAATAATGCTTTGGATAATAATAAGTGCAATGATTCCTTTTAAAAGATTCTCTTGGAAGCATGAATACCAAAAATAACTTGTGATATTAAAAAATACAATATAAAAAATAATTTTTGAATGTGTTAAATAGCAGTTTAGGCACAGTTCAACTAGTGAACTAAAAAACAAATTGAAAGAAGTTAACAGAGTTAGCACAGAGAAACAAAGAAATTAAGTGAGTTAGAAGACAGAATGAATAGTCCAGCACATTTATTAGAGTCCAATACATAAATTAGAGTTTACAAAGTGTAGAGTACAAAGACTGAGTTGGAGAAAACAGGATATTTGAGGATTTCTTTCCCCTGGACTGATGAAAGACAGGACCCCATAGAAGATATAACAACTCTAGGTAGCAAAATACAAATATTCTAATGAGGGAAAAGGAAAGATGTTATAAGCAGCTAGAGGGCAAAGAGACATCACCAAAAGAAGAATGACAATTAGAAAAACAAGGGGATTCCCAATAGCAATAGACGAAGTCAAAAGATAGTGGGATACTATCTATCTACAAAGGAATGACAGAAAATAGCTCCCAACTTGGAGTTTTGTACTGAAGAAAATTATTTTCAAACTATTTGCTGCAAGCTACTTACAGCAAATAGCTCATGTGGGCAATATATACATTAAGAAGAGCTTGGTATTTCAGGACACGTAGAATGATAAGGCTGGCAAACTATTTCTACATCCCCTCAAGAACGCTTGAACCAAGGAGCTAGTGTTTGTCTCAGAAAATTAGCTGGGCATGGTGGGGGGTGCCTGTAATTCCAGCTACTCGGGCGGCTGAGGCAGGAAAATCGCTCGAACCCGGAAGGCGGAGTTTGCAGTGAGCCGAGATCGCGCCACTACACTCCCGCCTGGGCAACAAGAGCAAAACTAAGAAAGGAAGAGAGAAGAGAGAAGAGAGAAAAGAGAGAAGAGAGAGAAGAGAGAAGAGAGAAGAGAGAGAGATAGAGAGAGAGAGAAGACAAAAAGAAAAGAAAATGGCTCACTTGAGAAGAAAATAATGGGAGATGATAGGCACAGTGAATTTCTTTGGGGCCCAATTTTTGAAGCTGACCCCACATTAGATTTAGACTAAGGAAGATAAGAAAATAAAGTCTCTCAAGAAAAAGCCCAATAGAGAGAAGACAGTTAAGTGAGAAAATACAGAGTCCCACAGTGCAAGAAGTAAGAGAAAGGTTTCCACAGAGTCATTCATGGAATTTCTAAAAGATGAAAGGATAAAATAAAGTACAATTACTGGTGGGATTTGAGATCCTTTGATGAGTTCAGAAGCTAAATTTTCAAAAGTTCATCTCAAGTTTTTCTGCTAATAGAAAGATATATCCATCTTTAACAACGTTTCATTCTGGAAGAAATTGAAAGGCAACATTATTCAGCCCATGGGGTAAGTCAGAAATGGAATCATCCTCGAAAATACCTATTCCTCAAACTTTATTATGTCCAATTGATTGTTAAGTTCCTTTATGTTCTTACTCTTTGATATCTCTATAATTTGTCCATGTTCCTCCATCTGTGTTTTCCCCACTCTAGTCCCGGCTTCTGGTAACTCTTACTAGAGCCACTGTAACAGCTAACTAACCTGTCTCTCAGCGTTCACTGCTCACCTACCCCCAACTCATAGAAGTCTCTACTAAACACAGTAAAGTGGCCTCTTCCAAAGGCAAAGCTGATCATGTAGTCACACCCTCCCTGAAGCACTTCCTTAATTCCCATTATTTTCAGAATTAACATAAACATTAAAAACTTGTCTTATAAAGGTTGGCATAATTTGGTGTCTATTTTGTTAAATCTTTCAGCCTGTACAGATATATCCCTCCATTCTGTGCTGCCTACCATTCAGTATGTCTTGACTCTCCTTAAGTTCCTTACTATATAGAAAATGCCCAGGCCGGGTGCGGTGGCTCACGCCTGTAATCCTAGCACTTTGGGAGACAGAGGCGGGTGGATCACAAGGTCAGGAGTTTGAGACCAGCCTGGCCAACATGGTGAAACCCTGTCTCTACTAAATATACAAAAATTTGCCAGGTGCGGTGGTGTGCACCTATGATCTCAGCTACTCGGGAGGCTGAGGGAGGAGAACAGCTTGAACCCTGGAGGCAGAGTTTGCAGTGAGGCAAGATAGCACCACTGCATTCCATCCTGGGACAGAGTGAGACTCCAACTCAAAAAAAAAAAAAAAAAAGTTCCAATATTTTTCAAAATGACTGAATGTGTAATTATTGCTCCTAATGAGTATATGTATTAATTATTAGTGAGAAAACATTTTTGCTCAAATTTTGGTTGATAATTGTGAATAGAGTCTGCTAACTAGAAATAAGTTGTGATGATTTTCTCAATGATAAACTCACCAAATTACTGGTAGATACCAGTTCATAATTAAAGACAGAAAATTGTCTCCTATTTTTTTTAAGATAAAACATCTTTTGATCTTTATAATTCAGAGCCTTTTGGGTAATATTCAATATTTATAATAAAGTACTTGAACATTTTTCTGTCAGATTTTGGTGAATTTCTTGAGGGAAGACCACCTAACTGATTGTCAATCTTAGGAGACACCTAATGTCCTTTACTTGAAGTTTCAAGGAATATAATGACATTTCATCAGTCATTGTTCTTATTTTAAATCCAGTCTAACAATGATTATCCAACCACATTTCCCCCTGCCCTTGTAAAAAATTCTGAACAAAGAGGAAACCTTTGCATTCGCTTTTTTATAAAGACTGCTGTTTTTCAGCAAGTTCGAAATAAATATTTGAACAAGCTTATAACCAAACCATTCAATAAATTTTTTTAACAGTGCTAACCTGAGATCAGAAAAGAGCTAGCTTGAATACAACTGTATTTCAGTGGTCAAATACTCTCAGATCTATTAATGGTACTCAAGCTAGCCTTCTAGTATTGAAAAGGATTGTGAATAAAACCTGCACTTCCTATTGCCTTCTTTATGACATTTACCATTGCACAAATATGTCTGACTTTAAATTTTCAATAGACTTTAAAGCATAGGTGTTTGATGCATCTATACGGATTGTTGATTACTCTTTTCTCCATCCCCTTCCCAATCCTTCTACCAAATTTAGGTTGAAGAGAAACTGTCTTTGGATATTCAGTCATGGCAAATAGTAAGTGCTCAATAAAGACACATTCAATAAGATAATAACTGATCCAGAAATCACAATATGCCAAACTTTAAGCAAATATTAGGATAATTCAATACTAAAAATTTAGAACTCAACCATGACATGTACACATATGTCTCACTTCAGCTATGTTCTCTATGTTGGGACAAATTACTGCTATTTTTGTAATGGTTAGGTGAACAGCATTCTCTTAGAACCTATCATTCAACTTGCTGGGTCAGGAAATAGGAACAGTTTTCCTGTTTTATTTGTTTAGCCTAGATCTATAAAAATATGTGCAAAGGGAAGTTGTTTATAAGCTTAAGTAAGGGAGGGTGGCTGGGCGTGGTGGCTCACGCCTGTAATCCCAGCACTTTGGGAGGCCAAAGTGGGTGGATCGCGAGGTCAGGAGTTCAAGACTAGCCTGGCCAAGATGCTGAAACCCCGTATCTACTAAAAAAAAAAAAAAAAAATTAGCCATGTGTGGTGCTGGGTGCCTGTAATCCCAGCTACTTGGGAGGCTGAGGCAGAGAATTGCTTGAACCTGGGAGGTGGAGGTTGCAGTGAGCCAAGATCGTGCCACTGCACTGTAGCCTGGGTGGCAAAGTGAGATTCTGTTTCAAAAAAAAAAAAAGATAAGCCAGTCCTTCCTAATATCCTATATTTTATCTATGCAAATGTAACTATTCCTCCATCAGCAAGAAAGAGGCTTTAAGTCTGTTTATTTAGACATGTAAATTTTTTTAAATTTTTATTTTTTTACTTTTTGGAGGGATGGAGTTTTGCTCTTCTTGACCATGCTGGAGTCCAATGGTATGATCTTGGTTCACTGCAAGCTCCACCTCCCGGGTTCGAGTGATTCTCCTGCCTCACTCTCCCAAGTACCTGAGATTGCATGTGTGTGCCACCACATTCGACTAATTTTGTATTTTTAGTAGAGACAGGGTTTCACCATGTTGCTTCAGGCTAGTCTCAAACTCCTGACTTGGCCTCTCAAAGTGCTGAGATTACCGCCATGAGCCGCCATGCCCAGCCGAGAAATCTAAATTTTAAGGTGATCTGTTCTGAAGTTTTTCTTCACATGAATGTAAATTTCCAATTATCAGTCTGCTCTGTGCAATTTAATTATAACATTCTACAATTGTAAGGATGTAGCATATTATTAAATATCTATTCAATTCTAACTTTCAATTAACAGCATAGAGTTGAGTAATAGAGAAATAATATAAAAGACTTGTGATTATTACAAATTGAATAACAAACATTTTTAAAGTTATAACATGTACAAATCTTTTACCTCTTGAAATAACAGTTTCTAACCCAGTTCCATTAATAAAAGCTCGTTTAATGGTTTGTGTTTTAATATCTGTCCAATATAAACGTTCCTCAGATGCATCGAAGTCTATCACAGTAACATCATCAATATCAGGAACTGTAAATGCCGTGATAAAGTTAAAATATGGATTGTCAATATCCACTCCTCTGATTTCAGAACGTCTTGCATAAAGAAGAAATTTTTTCATTTCTAAAAAAGAAATAGAAATTGTTTTTCTCTTATGAAGTTGGCAAGCTTGAAATAGTCTAGAAATTCTAAAATATTACTTGATTTAATACATGTTAACTCCTGAACATCATAATCAATACTTGATGGAAACAATGAAGTAACAATTTATCTATTTTAAATTAAGGTATTTAATAGAAACAAATGTAAAATGAGTTAGAAGCCTTACATCATCATTTTTCTTTGGCTAGAAACACCCAGATATTCTCAGTAATCAATTCTCAGTGACCTTAGAATTTCGAAGTTGCTAAACTACATAAACTCCAAGTGTCAAATACCATATTTGTACTTTGTACATAATTACAATATTGTATTCCATGGCAAGATTTTGAGGGACTCCAAGAACAGTTTTTCTATACTGTCTTTGAATAAGATAAAACTAAACATGCTATTAGAAATCTCATATATATTTTTCCTATAAAATTTAGGGCTCAAATAATTTAAAGCATGCTTTTAGTGTAATTTTTTGTAAATCTGTGGTAACTAACATTGTGAGCCATTATATCACTTTTACTTCCATAGACGCCTTCCTTGCACTACATTTGTAAAATATCAGAGCAAATATAAATAGTAGTTACAGATATTCTATTTTTTTTGTTGTTGCCTTAGTTTATTGGTGTTGAGATATGTTATTATTATGTAAATTAACGCTACAGGTACCTAAATGCCTGACTTAAATTTTGATATTTTTTTCCGTACTTAAAATTAAGTAATGTTTTGCAAATAAATACAATTATTAACAGAAAGCAAAAATTTTTATTCACAAAATTTATCTTTTTTAGTTCAAATGCATTGTTTAAATGTGTGGGTTTTTTTTTTTTTTTTTTTTTACAAATTTTTCCAAGTTATATATTTTACTTCACTTTTTCCCCTTTCGGGTTGATAATTCTCTACCAAATGATGCTAGAATGACTTTAGAAGAGCAGATTAAAGCTGTTAAGCACCTCTTTGTTATGCAGGTTACCTACATTATCATTTTCTGATAATGCACTTTCACTTAAAAGTCTTCCTGTTTTGCGGAGATAAATTCTGCTAACGTATCAAATAAGAAAGTAGGAAGAAAAAAAATGAGTAAGGTAATAAATAACGAAGTATAACATGTCACATATTTAAAGAATTTGCCAGTTTTCCCCAGAGCAGATGAATCATCAATAGTGGCTAGAAATAGCACCACCACCTAAAATATTTTTGAAAACAGAAAAAAAACTTCCTCTATTTTAATATGAGTAAAATCTGAATGCTAATATAATTTGAGAGAATTCAATTTTATTTTTATTTTTGATTAGAACTATAAGAAATTTACCATAGCAGGTCTTCTTGTCTGAAGAAAGCTTCATCAAGTGGGGGCATGCACATGCAGCACTCCTATTGTGATTGATTAGACACATGTGAGAGCAGGGGCCTTTGCCGTCATTAGCTGCACAAGGATTGGGAGCTGTAATTACACAGTGAAATATGAACAGTGAAGAAGGAAGAATGTATTAGGGAACCTGTGAGGTTGACAGGGGTTATTCACCTAATGATTCAAAGTACAGTTTCCTACATAGAACCCATTAGTAGGGTGATTAATATGACAATAATAGACAATCATACACAGGAATTATATTAATAAAAACATTATTTCAAAGATAACTAAGAAAACTCCATCAATTCTCTCTCAGACAAATGGCATGCATCCTATTGCTTAGAGGTAGTGGCCGGGGGCAGTGGCTCACGCCTGTCATCCCAGCACTTTGGGAGGCCAAGGCAGGCAGATCATGAGGTCAGGAGATTAAGACCATCCTGGCTAACACCGTGAAAACCCATCTCTACTAAAAATACAAAAAATTAGCTGAGCGTGGTGACACACACCTCTAGTCCCAGCTACTCAGGAGGCTGAGGCAGGAGAATCACTTGAACCCGTGAGGCAGAGGTTACAGTTCTTGCCTTGGCACACCACTTTTAAATGCTTCCTAGGAAACTGCTGTTACATATATACCTTTCCTTCAAATGCGTACTCTTCTTCAGATGAGGCCTATGTGAAGAAATGTCTGTCTGTCTGCATGATTAAGTCATCTACTTCTTTGTTACTTTTTCTGTATTAGCTAATTCCATGGCTAAGGATCGCTCCACTTGTACATACTTACTCAACTCCCTTGTATAAATAAGTTATGATTTTTCAAATTGAGAACAGAATATTAAATTTTGCAGCTTAATGTCATTCTGTGATGGCATCGAATGTCTTGAGACATTTTGAATTTTATGTTTCTTGTGCTGTCATCGTGTCTTTTGGATAAGATTTTAATTTATCTAGTATCTTTAATCTTATTTTTATAGAGCCTATCTAGTAGAAAAAAGTCATTAGAACTAGGCTACTGAATTGAAGGCAGAAACGAGTTATTCTCGCAGCCCCATCAAGAAAATGTTAGCTTTCAACTCATGAGTGGTATCTTCCAACCACGTCCCCTTGCTCGAAGTAGTGATAGGGTTGACACATGCCCCAAATATGCCACCTTTGCCCACTGGAAAATGACAGAAGCAGGAAGGTCTCTGTGACTTCCCTCCACTCCTCTTTCCTGAAACAGGTCATGAAAACTAGAAAGGATTTTCTGACCTCCCCTGAAGCAGATTACAAACTCTCATGTAGAGGTGCCCTTCCTAAGCCCCGAGGAAAGGAACATCCTTATGTCTGAAGATACAGGGACACAGAAAAGAATCTGAACAAACAGGCCTTGCTAATTTTTCCGCAGTTTATTACCATTAGATAATACCTCCTAGCATAAAACTACCCAGATTTTAACCATTTCTTCAGGTCTTTATTTCCTCAGAAGGCTCTTGTGTCATATAATACGTGTATTAAGTTTGTGTACTTTTCTTGTTAATCTGTCTTTCGTTATAGACCTCAGCCATGAACCTGAGATGGATAGAGAAAAGAAATTTCCTCCCCCTTACAGAAGTAAATAGCAGTCCTGTGGGGTTTTAACACACAAAGAATACAAATCAAAGAGATAATAAAAATGTAGAGGATATAAGACATGAACTGATTTGATAAATATTCAATGCAGTTTTTGGCAATTTTTAACATTCCTCACATCAAGATGATAAAAGTAATACTGTCTTTGTATTTGTTAAAAACAATAAATAAATAAATAAATAAATAAATAAATAAATAAATAAATAAATAAAGGAAAATAAGAGACTCACAACTCGTTCTCCTAAGAAAATTAAGAACAAAAGATATTAGAAAAGAGTAGAAGCTATTGTTCTAGAGATTCCTTTCTAGCGCAATTCCTTTATCACACAGAGTAAGTAGTTATTTTTTTGTTCTTTGTTATCTTTCGATTTTCTGTTATAATAATTGAAGTCCCTAAGGAATCACAAGTTAAGAGAAGCAAGAAAGTAGGTGGGAAGGAAAGGCAGAAAGGTGTTGTAGGACAGGAGGAGGAGTGAGTAAGAGGCAGTGTTAAGTGTCATATATCAAGTCAAGGTTACCCAGTCAGGTAGATAGAAAGAGAAAACCCAAATACCCCCATATCTGAAAAAATAAAATAAAGTAAAATGAGGAAGGAGAAAAGAAAAAAGAAAGAGGAGTAAAAGGGAAGAGCAGAAGGAAAAAGAAGTTTGTTCAAAAACACTAGCATAGGAAATGCTATTTCTCGGGAAAATTAAAAGCATAATCCATAACAGTCTAATGGTAGGTACTTGAATTTCACTTTGAGCGTCATTATTTTTAGGCCAGAATCATACCAACTCTTCTCAACACCCTATAATTATGAAAAAAAATACTTTTTAAAAGCAAAGATATTAAGTTTCTATGTACATACTAAAATAAAAAAAATGCATTGACTTTGTAGCCCAATGTCTTATTAATAACGCTGTAATGTATAATTCACAATATTTTGTGCTTCACAGAATGAACAATCCACCAAGAATTCTTACTTTTCATTTTCATCTCTTCTCACTTTAAAGGATTCAAAAATATTATTTCAAAGTTTCTTTCCAAACAAGTGCTTGAACACAGCTACCTATTCCAATTACCAAATTTAAAAATACTGTTCATAATACTCACGTTTTTATAGACAGCAGGGATTAGCAGACAGTAACCCATGAAACAAATCTGGTCCACTGACTGTTTTTGTAAATAAAGTTTTATTGAAACATAACCATGTGCATTGGTTTACATATTAGCCATGATTGTTATCATACTGCAATAGTAGAATTGAACAGCTTCAATAAAGACCACATGGCCCACAAAGCCTTATAAGACATATCTATTATAATTAGATAGTAAGTAGCTATTTTATAAGAGACACTACTGCAAAATCCAGTAGGATTGCAGAGGCTGCAAACTTCTACCAAAGCCAAGCCTATTTCATCTATTTGTATCCAAAAGATGGAAAAGCCATTGATCAATGGAATGCTATAACAAATCTTAACAGATGAAATATAAATACAGCTGGGCAGACTGGATTCACCAAATAATTCATATTGTCTAAACTCAAACTGACAAAATATAAAACCTTAGAGATACACCTGTAATACCCCCCACATTTTATTTATGCATTGAATAAAACATTATGAAGCACCTAGTTGTTTAAAACACTGTGAAAAAAAAAAGCAGAGATACAATAATGGACGAGTTCTTACCCCAAGGTGCTTAAGTTTCTATACACTAACCCAGTACTCAATTCTCTTCCATTCTATGGTCACTGGCTCAATTTAGGTTTTCTCCATTTCCTGCATAGATTGTTACATGAAACTCCTAACGAATCTTTGATATCCAGACTCCCTGCATTACATAGAGTTATCTTTTTAGAACACATACTTGATCATATCTGGTTTAGAAATTTAGGGCTAGGCATACCAATAATCCCAGAACTTTAGGAGGATGAAGCGGGAGGATTGCTTAAGTCCAGCAGATAGAGACCAGCCTGGGCAAGACAGGTAGGTCCCATCTCTACTGGGAAAAAAAAAAAAAAAAAAAAAAAAAAAGAATGACTTCCCACAGTCTATCTCACAAAGTCTCAGCCTTATCTCCTACTATTAATATTTCCCCTTAAGACTCCTCAGCACTAGGCAGACTGGTTTCCCTGCTACTACCATTCACCCTCCAGATCTTTATTCTGATCCACTCTCTGTTTACTTTTGTTAAAGAAGTGATCAAGGCCAGGTGTGGTGACTCACATCTGTAATCCCTGTGCTTTGGGAGGCCAAGATAAGAGGATCCCTTGAGCCCAGGATTTTGAGGCTGCAGTAAGCTATGATCATACCACTGCACTCCAGCCTGACCCACAGAGCAAGACTGTCTCTAAAAGCAAGTAAACAAAAAACAAAACAGAAGTAATCAACCTTCCAAACATACAAAATTTGTACTCCAAAGCATTTTTTTATTTCTTTTTCACTGCCATATTTAATCATTTCTCAAGTATTGTACAAATTTGGTCTAATATGTGTTTCCTTTCTTTTTACCTCTACTCTTCCAATGTATTTCCAAATTCATTTCCTCACTTTTGAATGACTGCTATGGCTATGTAACTGGTAAGTCGTGATACTGTCCCAGATATACCCACCTCTCTTTCTAAAACACGAATCTATCTTCCAAGCCTCATCTACCACTTTCCTTCTACATACACATTGTGTACACACTAAAAGGTATTTCTCATCATTCCCTGAATACCTATAGTTTATTCTTTTCCACCTCCACATGATGTACTTTTCTTCCCCTAGAATTTCATCATTAGTATCTTTACATTAACCTTCCTTGATGTCCCAGCTCAATTCATTTTTCTGCCATGAAACATTTTCTAATGAAGCCAGCTAATGCTGATTTATTTCATCATGAAATATTGGTTGTAATTATTGCTTTTACAAGGCAATTAGACAATTCATTGCTTGCTGTCCTATTTTCTAGTTAGTGACATTTGTTCATATATTTTGTATTAGTATGTGTTGGACTTTCTAGCTAAACCAGTGGTTGGCAAGGTTTTTCTATTAAAGGCCAGATGGTAGATATTTGGACTTTTGCAAGCTTTATGTTTTCCATAGTAATTATTCAACTCTGCTACTGTAACACAAAAGCAACCATAAAACAATAGGTGAATGAAGAGGTGTGACTATGTGAAAATAAAACTTTATTTACAAAACAGAGGGCTGAATTTAGCCTGAGGGTTGTAGTTTGTCACTCTCTGAGCTAGAGAAGTGATATGCTGGCAAGAACTAAGACATATATATATATGTCTTAGTATATATGTATATGTGTATATATATACACACATATATATATGTCTTAGTATATATGTATATGTGTATATATATACACACATATATATATGTCTTAGTATATATGTATATGTGTATATATATACACATACACACACACACATTGTTTTTTTCCTAAAATTTTTATGGTATCTATTCTTGTGTTAGAGGTAGGGACATTTGGATTCATATTCATGT